TTCCTTGTCCAGCCTATCATCAATGGCCATTTGGGTTGGTTCCAGGTCTTTGCTGTTGTAAACAGTGCCACAATGAACATGGGTGTACATGTGTCTTTATAATAGAAGGATTTATAATCCATTGGATATATACCCAGTAATGGGATTGTTGAGTCAAATGGAATTTCTATTTCTAGGTCCTTGAGGAATCACCACACTGTCTTCCACAATGGTTGAACTAATTTACACTCCCACCAGCAGTGTAAAAGTGTTCCTATTTCTCCATATCCTCTCCAGCATCTGTTGTCTCCAGATTTTTTAGTGCTCACCATTCTAACTGGCATGAGATGGTATCTCAATGTAGTTTTGATTTGCATTTCTCTAATGACCCGTGATGATGAGCATTTTTTCATATGTTTATTGGCCTCATACGTGTCTTCTTTTCAAAAGTGTCTGTTCATGTCCTTTGCCCACTTTTGAACAGGTTTTTTTTTTTTCTTGTAAATCTGTTTTAGTTCTTTGTACATTCTGGATAGTAGCCAAAAGGGCTGCTTTTAGAAAAGTGACTCCACTCCATTCCAGGGGCATTCAAGCCAAGGCTAGACGGTCAGAAGACATTAGTGCTATGAAGGAGTTCTCTGCCCTGGGAGAAGGAAAAACTGTGCAACTATGATTGTGTGTTGGGGTGTGTGTGTGTGTGTGTGTGTGTGCACAGGAGTGATGGAGACTGGGAAAGAGAAATGTCAGAAAGGAGAAACATGTTGCTGTGTTACCATATATGTAGCCAAGGGAGGTTTGTTGACGGTCTGTAACGGACATCTATGTTAGTGAAAGAGAAGGCTGAAATTGAGGGAGCGATTTTGTTGGATCAAATGTGTCAAAATTGGTGAATGTTTAGGTCTGCTTTTAAAAAATGTAACTACCTAACTGTGGGCTCCAAGTAAGAGTATACCAATCTTATGTTCAGGTATGGATTTAACTTGGAAATGCTAAGAACTTAGTACTCTATTTAACAGAAAAAAAGTTTCCAGATGTGTTGCCTATAGTATGATCAAGATGGTGAAATGTCATCTGAGATTTAACTATGCAGTATTCTCATAAAAGGCCTTCTTTGTGGTAGAGAACCCATGTTAAATTTCAGTCATCATGTCAGAACAAGTAGAGGCCTGGCTGGTGTTTTTTTGTTTTGTTTTGTTTTTTGAGATATAGTCTTGCTTTGTCCCCAGACTGGAGTGCAGTGGTGTGATCGTGGCTCACTGCAACCTCCACCTCCTGGTTCAAGTGATTCTTCTGCCTCAGCTTCACTAGTAACTGAGACTACAAGCATACACCATCACGCCCAGCTAATTTTTGTATTTTTCTTAGAGACGGGGTTTCACTATGTTAACCAGGCTGGTTTCAAACTCCCGACCTCCAATGATCCACCCACCTCAGCCTCCCAAAGGCTGGGATTATAGGCATGAGCCTCCGCACTGGCTGGTGTTTTAAGAGCTGACATAAGTATGGAAATGGTTGAGGCTTGCTCAAGGTGCTAGAATCTCCGTTCCAGGAAAGTGTGGCTCAGCAAGGAAGGAAAGATTGATGACTGGTAAACAGTTTGAATTGTTCTAGTAGTTCTCCCTGCCACCCCATCCACACTCACTGTGGGCTAGTACCTGTAACAGATGCTGGGGATCCAAAAATCACTAGTAAGACACAGATATGCCCTACAAGACTTTCTTACCTGTGACAATATCAACTGAGTGATCTTTTAAATCTTAAATATTATGTGATGAAATCAATATCTTTGACAAGAGGCCTTTTGAGAAAACACATTGGAAGATTTGTGTTGGGGTTTGAGGGGACTAAAAAATAATGCCCATCTTCACCACCCAAATTTGAAAGTAATTGATAGATGAGCAGACAGGTTGATGGCAATTATAACACAGTTTGAGCTGTTTGGACAGCATGGCTTAGGTTCAAAGATGAATGGACTTGTTTAGGACACTGTTCTGCCTCCCCATCTCCAAGTATGGCATTGCTCATCCAGTTGGAGATTCAGTAGACCATTTGAGTATACTGAATGCACACATTAACCAAAGATTGCTGCTCTCTCTACACTGAGACAAAAAGGGAAGAAAGTAATCAGTTCCCTAGTGCTCACAGTCTTTTAATAGATTAGTCTTACCCAGTTCAGAAACGAGCCAATTGCTGTCACCCCAAATCAGGTTTCGCTCTCATCAGTGGGGAAAATAAGTAATGGATGGGGTAGAGGTTATGAGTGTTCCTACAGATGAAACTTTCTTCCAATGGGAAACAAGAGGAGTAGGGAAATAAATGTTCATTCTTCATTTTCCCCTACCTTTTGATCTTAATCGTTAAGTTTATGATCAGTCAGGGTCTATGTATCACCCCTTGGAGAGGAGATTAGCAGCTAGGGAAGTCTTTCTCCCACCTTTTGAGACTGTTTCAGTACTGTACCTTTTGGCTTTTTTTTTTTTTTTTTTTTTTGAGATGGAGTCTTGCTCTGTCACCAGGCTGGAGTGCAGTGGTGTGATCTCGGCTCACTGCAACCTCTGCCTCCCGGGTTCAAGAGATTCTCTGGCCTCAGCTTGCTGAGTAGCTGGGATTACAGGCATGTACCACCACACCTGGCTAATTTTTGTATTTTTAGCAGAGATGGGGTTTCACCATGTTGGCCAGGATGGTCTCGATCTCTTGACCTCAGGTGATCCACCTGCCTTGGCGCGCTGAAGTGCTGGGATTTCAGGCATGAGCCACCATGCCTGGCCACCTTTTTGGCTTCTTTTAAGAATGTTGGTGAAGAGTGTTAATGTTGTAGCCAGAGTTCTTATTTTAGATAAATATATTTTAATCATCATGTTAATTAACTCCAAGACCATTATGTGTCAACATAAAAACATTTAGGTGCTAGGCCTGTAGTTGGGTTATTATTTTTTCTAGTTGGCTCAGGGAAGCTCAGCTCTGTTTATTGTAGTACCTTAGTGACCATAGTTCCGTAAGGGGTGGAAGGTAAATGCCTTGCCCACTGTGGGCTGGTACTATAAAAATGTTAAAAGAAAAACTTTAGACAAAATAAATTTCACAGTTTATCTGAACAAAGAACAATTTATGAATTAAGCAGCACTCAGAACCAGATGAGGTGCAAATAATTCTGCTTAGCATTGTTAGTAGGAAGGTCTTATAGGCTGAACACAGAAGCAAAATAGAGAAATCACCTGATTGGCTACAGCTAAGTGTCTGCCGTAATTGGACTTGGTGTGATAAGTTGGCTGCCTATGATTGGCAGAAACCTGGCTGCTTGTGATCAGATGAAACTGAACTATTTATTATACTCCTAAGTTTCAGTTTGCTTATGTATGAAGTTAGGTTGCAGTTTGTTGTATAAAAACTCAAAGTACAAAGACAACCTCAGGCAAATGGCCTCTTGCTTATTTAACAGAAATAAGCAGACCACAGTCCCCTGATGAGGCATTTGAAAGAAAATTCATCAATCTCCGATTTCCCAGCTTTTTTTTTTTTGAGATGGAGTCTCATTCTGTCACCCAGGCTGGAGTGCAGTGGCATTATCTTGGCTCACTGCAACCTCCACCTCCTGGGTTCAAGCAGTTCTCCTGCCTCAGCCTCCTGATTAGCTGGGATTACAGGCACATGCCACCATGGCCAGCTAATTTGTGTATTTTTAGTAGAGACGGGATTTCACCATGTTGGTCAGGTTGGTCTCTAACTCCTGACTTTGTGATCCACTGCATCTGCTTCCCAAAGTGCTGGGATTACAGGCATGAGCCACTATGTCCAGCCCCAGCTTTTGTATAGACATAATGGTTCCTTCTTGGCCTCCTGGGGCCAATAAGACCAGGAGCATTTACAGAGGGACAAAGGCAACCTTTCCCTAAAGTAATACACAGATCCCAACTGGCCAGCTAGTCCCAGGAAACAGCACACTCCATCCTCACCCTGGAACTCAGAGACTGGACTCCAAGGCCATACTCAGATCTCAGCATCAGAATAGAAACCAAGTCTGGCCTTACAGTCTGCTGCTTACAAGACCCTAGTAGCAGATTAGATGATAAATTAAAACTGGAGTAGAGCTTAGGTTGTCATCTTTCCTAAACCACTACTCCTTGTTCTCAAGCTGCTTTAATGGAGAATCCTCAGCCAAATGTAATTTTAAAGTTGATTTAGTGCCATCTTAAAGGGTAAAGCTCACAAGCTCCAGCAGAAACTTCCAAAAATAACTTATACAAAAATTCTTAGTGTAATTTCAGCCCAGCTTGGGTTAAAATCTGAATTCCATAGTTAAGTTTAGCATTTAATTTAGAAAAGATAGGAGTAAGAGACTACAGGGAGTATCTTTTAAGAAATTACAGTGGCTGGGTGTGGTGGCTCACTCCTGTAATCCCAGCTTTTTGGGAGGCCAAGGTGGGTGGATCACTTGAGGCCAGGAGTTTGAGACTAGCCTGGCTAACATGGTGAAACCCCTGTCTCTACTAAAAAAAAAAAAAATGCAAAAATTAGCCAGGTGTGGTCGCACATACCTGTAGTCCCAGCTATTCGGGAGGCTGAGGCAGAAGAATGGCTTGAACCCAGAATGTGGAGGTTGCAGTGAGCCAAGATAGTGCTACTGCTGTGCTCCAGCCTTGGTGACAGAGCAAGATGCCCTCTCAAAAAAAAAAAAAGAAAAAAAGGAAAGAAATTACACTTACATTAAGTCAGGCTTAAGGGGAAAGGGAGGGAGTAGAAAGGAAATTTCTATTGAATGCTACAAGGCTCAAAGTACTAGATGCTATTTTATTTAATGCTGAGAATAGTAGTATAATAAATTATTGTTGTCTCCATTTTAAGGTGGAGATACAATCAACCGAGGCTTAGTTTACATTATTTACTGCAATATGCTCCTATCTTGCCCTATTCCAAGGCCCACACTTATTTCTCTTATACTATCAAGAGAAACTAGCATCATTACTTGTACTAATATTAGGTATATTTTCTAATTCTTATTATTTTTATTGTTATACCAGAAAGGAATGAAGGGGAACAGAGAAAGAAAACTTCATAACCTGGAGCTGCCGCAGCTTCTCCTTTTACCAGACAGCAACCAGAAGAGAACCTGGTAGGTCCCTCCTTTACCTCCTACAGACCTGAGCCCAACACCTTAGTTCAAAGCTTTTCTCTCTTTCTTTTCTCTCATTCAGTCTCCATTTTTCTCTCCTTGTCATTCTTTCTGAGAGTCCAAACCTCCCTCCCGTTGTGAAGAGGCTCCTGAATAGTACTGATGATAATGCGTAATAAAGAAAATCTCAAGTCTGAAGTAGAAGTGAGGAGCCTAAACAGGTTTTTCTCCTCACCTTAAATGTTCCAAAAGACCCCCTAAAGCCTTTGAACTTAAATGCCTTTAATTCAATCTCCTTTTCAAGTAGTAATAGTCACGATTGAAAAATTCTTTCCTCACTCAGTTTTCTCTTTCAGCTATTGCAATTATAAAATTATTGCTTTTTACCATTTTCTCATAAGTTCTATGGAATAAAATGTTAAGTAAGCTTTTATTAGGTAATTCTGAAATTTATTACTCCCAAGATTATTTTATGTGAAATCTATTTCTGAATTCCAAACAAATGGAATACAAATAAACTTTCAAAATGCAACTTTTGTTTCTAAGTTGAATTCTGCCTTTATACTGTTTGAGTTAATGAGAAACAGTAAAATAACAATGTTTTAAAATGTTCAATACCTTACAGGATTTGCTACCAAAATTAAGTAGATTAAGGATAGTTATTCTCTTATTTAACAATTCAGAAAAAGAAGTTAAAGTTTGCAAAAACACATTGTATAGTAATGAAGTTCCAACATCTAACAACAAGAAACAACTGAAGTTTTACAAAGCTTTTTAATTGCATAAATTACTAATGTAATACTATTGATGATGAGTGGCTGAAATGCTGATATACAGTTAACTCCACATTTATTAACTTAATGGTACATTTATCTTATTTGATATTCAATTCTAGAACAAGAGTATTGATGTTATGTAGCTTTCAACAGCGCATTTCCAGAGTCAGTCTATGCCGTTCTTGGTCATGAGTCAGACTTTAGTGTAGGAAGGCTGATGGTTGAGCAATCTAACTGAGATAATAGAAAGTCACAAACTAGATCCTCTTGGTAATACTTATTTCTAATTTTGTTCTATTATTTACTAAAACTGTTTATTGTTTTTGAACAGACCACTGCTGGCTTGTAATTCTAATTTCTATGTTTTGCTCTCTTATATAATCAATTAGGACATTACTATCTGGAGAAGAATTTCTTTTATAATTTTGGAATTTGGATATTTGCTTCTTGTTACTCAAATATTGCTGCATACACGGTATTTTATGAGGCATCTAAAATTTTACTTGACAAGTTTAACAAATTATCCAGTGGTGTTACATTATTTAATTTATGTATATTTTTAAAAGGGTTTGAGTAACATTTGTCAGGTGAGGCACTGAATGTAGGTATGCTCATTAGTTTTTCTGTAGAAAACATTCTTTCAAATTTTCCAGTTTGGACACTCATTTCTTGAATAACAGCTTTATCAAGGTAACCCACAAATTGTTTTGTTAGGCTAGAAAAATTCTGTGAGAAATTATAGAGTGTATTCCAAGATCTGTTTTCTAGTGTCTGCCTATTAGTTTTCTTCTTTAGTTTATCATCTACAATTGTGTGGTCTGCTTTAAAAGACATGGGGATCTGTATAGCTTTTCTCTGTGCTGTAGGCATAGTTTTTTGGGGTTTGAAAAGAGAAATAGATTGATCGCCAATTATAGATTTGTAGATTTCACAATTTTTTTCTAAAACAAAGTTTGTTCCTTTACGGTAAATGTTTTCATTTTCTAAAGGATGAGAAGAAAATCTTTTTTTCGTCAAAAGTAACATTCGTACAGATTCTGTGTCATGGAAAATTATGGGATTTGTATCCTTTTGTTCCTGTGGATTAAAGAAAAGAGTAATTAGTCATAAGTTCATTGAGTCGGGAAAACTACATATAATTTAAAGCATGTAAATAAAATTGTAAAATATTCTAAATATGACTATATACAAATATTTAATATGAACAATAGCATTATTCAAATACATGAAAATACAGTACTTGTAGGTAACATATATCCTTTTATCTTAATATTCCATAGAGATGTTAGTGATAAAACTTCAACTTTTGGCCTTAAATGTTTTTTGAAATAAAGTAGAATATGAAAAAATAAACATATTCATAAATATCTGAGGTGCTGGGAGCAGTGGCTCATGCCTGTAATCCCAGCACTTTGGGAAGCCAAGTGGGTGGATCACGAGGTCAGGAGTTCAAGGCAAGCCTGGCCAACATGGTGAAACCCCATCTTTACTAAAAAATACAAAAATTAGCTGACCATGGTGGGTGGCGCACACCTGCAGTCCCAGCTACTCCAGAGACTGAGGCTGGAGAATTGCTGGAACCTGGGAGGCGGAGGTTGCAGTGAGCTGAGATGGCTCAACTACACTCCAGCCTGGGCAACAGAGTGAGACTTCATCTCAAGAACAACAACAACAACAACAAAAATCTGAGGTACTGCCATTGAGAAATAAGGTAGTTGTTGTGGCATTTGTTAGGTTTCCAAATTGTAGAAATTAAAAAGCACACCAAAAAATTGATTGAGTCAAAGTTCAGAAGAGATATAACTGATTACAGGCCAAAATTACAAATATGGGTATCCTAGTAAATAATTTAAAAATTAAAAATGATCTCTACAACAGTTATTATTGCACCCTAATCCGTAGCATAATACCTGACACCTAAAAACTGCTCAATATAGATTTGTAGTATAAAATAGCCAAAGTAATAGATTGACTTAAGAATAGATCATTTTTATCACAGTAATAGCCAAGTCTACTATGATTACTGAAAAGACGACAAAGATCTAGTTTTGCAATCCACTGGTGATGCCAGTATTACCTATATAGCCATAGTAATGGATGTTTGTAATGCTTTTGGTCTGTCCGACACCTCAGGGAATTTTCCACTTGACAAGTCTATGTACGCTTATCTAGAGGCAGGAATCATGTTTGTCAGCTTCTTTGCGGTTAGGGCATGTGACTGACCTAGGCTCTGCCAATCTGATACACCAATGGAGTCTTCAGTTCAGAGGAAGCAAAGATTGTGAAAAAGTACTGGGAAAACTATTCTCGTGAGGGTAGTAGGAGTTATATCTAGCTTTGAACGACAGCAGTAACAAATGTTTTAGAATATTCCCTGCTCAGCATTGGAGTTGTAAAGTGTTATCTGTTACCAGAACATGGGCCTCAGTGGAGAGTCTGGGGCTATATAATTAGGTGATTCCTGATAGACGGCTTTCGAGCCAGGTTGCCTCTCTAGAGACCATGAGTTACTAAATAGCCTTTAATAAATGCACTTTCTGGTTGAAATAGCCAAAACAGATTGTTAGAAAAATGGACACATAGTCATGGTCCCATCATTTTAGGACTGGGGTCTTGTTACATTACCCACGCTGGATTCAGATGGCTAGGCTCAAGCAATTCTCCTGCCTCAGACTCCAGAGTAGCGGGGACTGCAGGTGCACACCACTGCATTCTGCTAGATTGGTACAGTCATTTTAAAAATCCTTCTTATTCTATAGTTCCATTTTGATCAAGCAAATTTGATAAAGCCTTCTTCATAAAGAAAAACACTGAATTTTCAGCTGGTATAAAGGAATCCCCAGTTCTGGGGTTGTGCAAAGAGCATTAAGAACGTAAGTGCTGCTATCACTTTAGAGTATTAAACCAAAGAGTAATAAGGATTTATCAACGATTCCGGTCACTAAAATACATGGTTGATTCCTGTAAGTCATATGACTACACATATTTACTTAACAATATGCTTATTACCATGTGAGAAGTTACTGTCTTTGTTGGACTAACGTCGATTATCTTGGCATGTGGATTTTTCAGTTCATCCTCAAAGCACAACGGGAGCAAGCTCTTCTTTCTTGCTGACCAATACTTACTTAATCGATCATTTCTGAGCAATTTGTTTTCTTTTATATTAAAATCATTCATCTGTGGAGAGTTTTTTCTGAAAATAAACACAGTTCGGGGAAATGTTTATGGGGTTAATTGCAGCTTGTCAGTTCTTCTCTGCTTCCCCTTATCCCTGAAAGTCACTGACAATTTCTGTACCAACCTCTCTCCCACAGACTTTCAAACTGACAAGACCATCCCTTCCTGCCTAGTTTGTGGGAGAAAATGGCAAAAGTAGGAGTGAAAGCAAGAGAGTCATATGTATGCCTCTTTGGTTTTTGAGTGGGGAGGAGTTGTATTATGTAGGTTGAGGAGAACACCAAAGGTAGAAAGGTATTTGCAACATCCTACGTTGAAATCCTGGAAGAAGCTTCACAAGGCAGCTTCATGCCAACATAGGGTGGACCCAGCTTTGTTAAGAGGATAGTGTGGTCAGGAAGAGACAGGATATAGTTTTTAAACGGAGTTCAACCTAAAGTGGTTGTTTATTGTTGATTCAAAGTTTGAAACACCCTGGATTAATGATTTTTTTCATTATATAGAGACGGAAAGGTTCACGAGAAAACCGATAACTTTATCCAAAGAAGAGCTACTTTTTCGCATCCATGTTATAGTGTAAGTAAATGTGGTTATTTACTACAAAAACATAATTTATTCTCTCTATTCATTTTTCATGCCTTTCTTTCCATTTGACAGTCGTCAAGGTCTGGATGTGATATCTAGTGGCTAAGCAGTCTTGGACCATTCATTGGATTGTACTATGGAACTAAATGTTAATAATAAAGCAGAATAAATTCATTCTGGCCAATTATAAAATGTGTCCTACTAGAAACATCATCAAACAGAATAAAATATTAAGCATTTTAAAATAAATTACCTTTTATTTCTATCATCTCTTAAGTGATTAACAGAATCCAATGGTTTCCTAGGCTTTTTTTCAATTTGAGCTGAAATTATAAAAGATTTTCATAAAAGACACACATCCATTCTGACATTTAGATAAATATCTTGCACAAAATATTTTACAATTTAAAATAACATATGGAAAGCACCTAGTATAGTGCCTGGTCTGTAGTAGCTACTACAAGAAGACAAGAAAATATTTCTTGAATGAACAAGATAGAACTGGAAGAGACTGAGATCAAAGCTCCAATATTTGGCTAAAACAGATCAAACAAAAACGTGGTCTTGGAGATGTTTTTGTGGAAGAAAGGCATCCCTGAATTTTCAAATCTCTCTGAAATGTGGAGTCATTATTAACCAGTAGGAAGCCTCAGACAGTTAACACTTGGTAGGGAGGGAACACAGTTTGCAGATATCAAACAGATCTCGCCATGTGCCATGAAGTGTCCAAGGTTGATCTCTTCCAAATACATCTGGTGGCCACTCCAGCATTCTTCTAGACATAAATGCTATTAGAAATAGTTTCAGCTTTTTTCTTGTCTTCTAGTAGTTTATATTCTAGTGCAGTACTTCCCAGTCTTTCCCATATATTGGCAAGCATGCTAAGTAATATTATGTGTACAGTATACTGGAATAAATGTTTGAGTCTGGGCAGGCTACCATAGGGCCAACTGAGCAGCCTTGATGGCCAAGGAATCAATATTTCAGCATACCTATAACCCACGCCAAACACAACAGGTTACCATAGTACTATTTGGGAAGCTCTGTTCTAGAGGGAGGAAACTGTCAATAAACAAGTGCTGGGCATAGTGGCGTGCCCCTGTAATCCCAGCTACTCAGGAGGCTGAGGTGGGAGGACTGCTTAAGGCCAGGAGTTTGAGGCCAGCTGGGGCAGTATAGTAAGACCTCATTTCAAAAAAACAAAAACATGAAACAATAACAAAAACAAGTAAACCAACCACCAAATAAATATATAATATAATTTTGAATACTTTGGAAGTATTTTAAGTATTCAAGTATTATGGAAGAATATAAACATGGTACTTCACCTAGGGTGGCTATAGAAGGCCTCTTTTAAGGAGGGATATTTGAGCTGAAATCTGAGCAAAGAGAAAGAGGCAGAGGAAACAGCAAGTGTGGAGGTCTCCGTGTAAAACCGGTGTGGAATGCTGAAAAACAAAGAGGCCAGTGTTGCTGGGGTGCAGTGAATTAGAAGGAGAGTAGTGTAAGATGGGTTGAAGCACATAGCAGGGAAGTCATCTAGGGTTACATAAACCACGGTGGGGTTAAGATATTATTCTGGTTACACAGAGATCCTTAGGAGGGCTTTCAACAGAACAATAACACAGTCTCATATATGCTTTAGAAAGATCACTCTGCTTGCTAAGAGATGGATAGTCTGTGGGGAGAAGGGAGAATGTGGGTGGCAAGAGCAGCAATGGAGTAACCAGTTAGGAGGCTGTTGCTGTTATCTAGATAAACATGTCGGTGGATTCGGTGAGGATGGTAGCAGTGTAAGTGGTGGGAAATGGTTGGCTTCAGTTTCTATCGAGAGGGAGATCCAACTTTTTCCCATTTGCAGGAATGGGAAAGGTAAGAGAAAAATAGGCCCACTGACTGAAACAAGGTGCTGGGTTGAGGATCCCTGGCTTGTGAAGGAGAATTAAAATCACTCCTCTCCAATGCCAACTGGCTTACCTGGAACCACACCAGAGACGAATGACTGAATCTGCCATATCCCCAATTATCACCCTGGCAGAGGAAGCCCATTCACAACTCTAAAATCTGGTCTGGCCTGAGGGTCATGAGGTCTGAGTAATGGTAACTACAAAACTTCTGGAAAGGGAAGAGTGACGTATAGTAAGTGGTGAATAAGGGAGAGAGAACCATCTAGAATTCTAAAACGTGAAAAATATTGCTGAGAGCAATGACTCACACCTGTAATCCTAGCACTTTGAGAGGCTGAGGCTGGTGAATCACTTGAGGTGAGGATTTTAAGACCAACCTGGCCAACATGGTGAAACCCCGTCTCTACTAGAAATACAGAAATCCGCTGAGCATTCTGGTGAACACCTGTAATCCCAGCTACTCGGGAGGCTAAGGCAGAAGAATCGCTTGAACCCAGGAGATGAAGGTTGCAGTGAGCCAGGATCATGCCACTGCACTCTAGCCTGGGTGACAGGGTGAGACTCAGTCTCAAAACAATAATAATAATAATGATATGAAAGATATAAATCTAAGAAAGGAAGCCAACAAAATCTACAAGAAGATAAGTTCAGCAGTACAGTTAAATAGAAGAATCTAAAAATAACCTGAAAACCTTTGGCATCTTAAGATATACACCTCAATTTTAAGATGTGTATTAGCATGTGTCATAGTTTAATTAACAGTGTCAATTGATGACATCTTAGATTTGTTAAAATATGTTCAGACATTTCAAAGGTATAAATAAAAATATTCACATTAGAGAATAAGCTAGTATTCAATAAAAACAGACTGAAATAAAAAGAGGTCAAAATTTTAAAAACTGGAAATCTTGGAAGAAGTATAAATCTAGATTACATGGCCAAAGGGAGAATTAATGAACTGAAAGAAAATGTTAAGGAATTCACAAAGAATGCAAAGAGAGATAAATAAAAAACCTGAAAGAACAGTTCAAAATTATGAAAAACAGACTGCAAGTCTTTGACATTTATCTAACAGCTTTGGAAGAAGAAAATAGAGGAAATGGTGAAGAATGCATATTTGAAGAGATAATAACCAATAATTCTAACTGACAGATGTGTATTTCAAGATTTGAAGATGACAGATAGAATACATCTATATTCAGACACTTTGCACTAAAAATGATGATCATAAAAAATGAAGAGAAAAATCCTAAAACTACAAGAAAGTTAAAAACAGTTTGTCATAAAGGAATGACAATTGGACCACAAACAGAATTCTAAGCTATGAATGATTCTGGACAACAATAAAGTTATCGTTAAAGTGCTAAGAAAAAATGATATACAGTGTAAAAATTTCCAACAACACCACTGTCCTTCAAGAGTGACAGCAAAATAAAGGCACTTCAGATATACAAGGATCAAAAGAGTTAACAGCCAACAGGTCACCACTGAAAGAATGACTAACACATGCTTTTCAGGAAAAATGTAAGAGAACACAGATGGGGCCGGGTGTGGTGGCTCATGCCTGTAATCCCAGCACTTCAGGAGGCCAAGGCAGGTGGATCACCTGAGGACAGGATTTCGAGACCAGCCTGACCAATATGGTGAAACCCCATCTCTATTAAAAATACAAAATTAGTCAGGAATGGTGATGCACACCTGTAATCCCAGCTACTTGGGAAGCTGAGGCAGGAGAATCGCTTGAACCTGGGAGGTAAAGTTTGCAGTGAACCGAGATAGTGCCATTGCACTCCAGCCTGGGCAACACGAGCAAAACCCCATCTCAAAAAAAAAAAAAATAAATAAACCATAAATGGCAGGATACAGGAGTCAATAATGTGCACAGAATTTGATAAACTGCTATGTATTTAATTAGCATTGTCTTTAAAAACTAATAATATTTTGTATTTTAAATGAAACATTAATATTTGCTGCACTTGTATAAGCTTTTTTCAGTTAATCTGTTGTATTTTTGGTGTTTTAGACTTCTGTAGTGTCAACCTCTTGTTTTTTCCTTTAACTTTGCTTTACTGAGGTACAATTTACGTACAACAAAATACACATATTTTAATGTAATGCAGTTTGATAAATGTTGATAAATATATGCACTCATGTAAGTAAAATCAAGATATAAAGTATTTCCATTATTCTCAGGTAGTTTTCCCCTGCCCCTTGCCCCTTTTAGTCAATTCATTTGATTTGTCCTCTTCCTTCCTTCGAACACATTGGTTCTCTCAGTGTTGGATACCTGTTTTCTTCCCTCAATATACTATCTTGTCTAATGTGGTCATATTTTTGTCCGCTTACACTGCATTCTGTATGCTATTCCTAAATCTGCTTTTCAGATTTTGATTCGGTTTATTCCCATGTTTATTTTACTCTTTGCTGCTTTTAATATAATTTTAGGTTACCTATTAGCATTACTTGTTTCTTTAAAAATATTTTTTAGTTCTGGTAGCATCATTTCATCCTTGATGATTGTTTTACATTTCCAAATCTTATTTCATAGAATTCTGATTTTATTTAATTCCTTCAGCATATAGAACAATTATTGTTTAAGTTTTTTCCTGGTTTGTGGGGTACAAATTCTGCCAAAATGTGACCATCAGCTATCTTTTAAATATTGACCTCTCTTTGCTACAGAACTTTTTCATAGGTCCCATGCTTTGTTCTTATTTTTCTTTCTGCACAACTTTGAATCAGAGCACTTAAATCTGGGCTTATTATTTGTCCAAAAATAATAGGTGTAATTTATTTTGATGTTCTCCCTGTTTACCTGGGTACTGCTAAATTCTCTCCTTAGAAATTAACATGTAAATCCAGATGTTGTTACCTTGTATTATGAGTTCAGGCACTCAGCTACCGGAGTAGGCTGCTAAGGAAGCTGGAGCCTTGGAAAATCATGGAGAAAATTTGTTTCTGGGCACTGTATATTTTGTGAAACCTTTTCATGACCCCAGGGTGGTGGTGGTGGTGGTGGTAGTGGTGGGTACTCTGTTTATGTGTGAGGTGTCACTTGGATTTCATTTTTTTACCTCTCTTTTGGGGTAAGCAAGTTAGTTTGGTAGTTTGGGAAGGAATTTACTCAAGTAAAGGCCTCATGGCTCACAAGCTGTGTGATGGAATCATGTTTTTTCTTTACACAGTTACCATTGGTCACAATCCAAAAATGCTTCCTAGAAAATTGGATTTTGTCTCTTCTGTTGTCAATTCTCCTTTCAAGTCTCTGCTCCTTCAAGTTAGGTTTTTATGCTAACTCTGAGTACATCTAAAGCAATACGAGGAAGCCAGAGCAAAAAGTGACAAGTTATGACCATTACATTTCTTTCCAAATATTGCTAACACAGACTTGGAATGCTGCTGACTTACAATGAGGAAAGGAATCCCAAGGGGGAGGATTTCACATCTTTCTGTGACCTATCATTGATAACAAACTCCTTTTAAGTTGTGTGTGTGTGTGTGTGTGTGCGTGTGAGAGAGAGAGAGAGAGAGAGAGTGTGTGTGTGTGTGTGTGTGTGTGTGTGTGGTGGAATAGGTGGTTATAATAGGGGATTTTTTTCAGAATATTCTCTCTCTACTGGCTCTTTCAATGGTTAATTCTTTCTCCTAAGAAATGGAATTGTGCACTGACTTCTGGAAGATTCTTTCAAACTGCTTTGTATTATAATATGTGGCAGATTTTCTTTGAGTTAGGGATAAAACATTCCGCCTTCAATTTAATAACTTTTTCTTCTCTGCTTTCTTTTTTTGTTATTCATTTTGGCCAGGATGAATTTGTATGTATGTTGACAGCTTTCCCAGAAGTCTTACTTTGGGACTTTGATAAAAAGTATAAAATGCTGCTTTAGAGAGACTCAAGAACTTTTCTACAGGGAGATTGCTTTGCTGAACGAATACAGCATCCTGTCACTGCCCTCGGGGAACACTTCAGAGAAGATGTGACATCTGAGTGGCACCTTAAAGGATAATGTGATTAACAGAGAGTTGCCTACTTCACGGTCTTTTTTTTTACCCTTCTTTACTAAAAGCACTCCAATCTTATCTCCTTGTAAACAACCATGTCCTTCAAAGAAGGTTGGGGTCTTTCCTTGCTCAAGGTAAAGATTATTCAAGTAAATCTTGAATAATCTAAGCTATGTTTTTCAAAATGTGAGCTACAAACCATTCATATCTTGTGAAATCAATTTAGTGTATCCTGAACAGCATTAAAAAATGAAATATAATAGAGTATAACAGAATGTATTGTCTGGATCCTTAGTAATAACTGTGCAAAATACAAAAATACTACAATCAAATTCAACTAACAGAGAGAAAGAGAGATAATGAGGACTCTAGGAAGTTGAATCTTCTGGTGTGTGTGTGTGTGTGTGTGTGTGTGTGTATAATATAAAAAGTATTTCTTACTGTGGCCATATTAAAAGTTGGAAAAAGTGATCAGTGATCTAAGCCAATGATGACTTATTGGTTTGGATGTGAATGCATGAGGCTATTTGAGGCAAAGAGACATAAGGGGGAGTCAGCTTTGGGAAACTTTTTTTCATTCTTACAAAGGCATAGAAAGCATTTCTAGTCACACAAGCTATCTTGAATAGTAGTCATCATATTGTACAGCAAGAATAGGAGGACAAGCTACCTGCTAAGATTATTGAGGAAAGACAAAGGAACTGGATATTTTCCCCCCACTGTATTCGTCTATTCAATCTCAGTGGCCACAATCAGACAGATAGAAAGCACAAGAATGTATTTTTTCCTTGTGTCTGTAGTGGAAACCTTAGTAGCAGATAGTATCTACTCCAGGTCTGTCAAATAGATGCATGAAAACGAATATCTGATGACATTATAAAGCCCCTGAATGAGCCAACCCTGCAAATGCCTTTCTGATGGATCTCTTGTTTTTTTTAGATAATAAATAACTTTACTGTTTAAGCAACAGGCTATTGGATCTTCTTTTGCTTGAGGCTAACATCTCTTAACTATTAAAGATGAACAGGAATCTAACAGGTGAAAACATACGTTTTAAGCACAGACAACAGACAGTGCATCAAATCGCACAGTAGTTTGGCTGACTAAACAAAACATCCTATTAAGTATGACTAGAATCAGTGTGGTGTGGATAGGTTTAACAGTAAGAAAGGAAGGCTGGAAAGATCGTTATGGTAGTATAATCAAAGACTAATATTCCTTGGCTAAAGACTTTCTTAATGCTTACATCCTAAGTTTAGATGCAGTTAACTTTTAGTTATTCCAATGTAAGTAAACATGCAATTTGTATACCTGTAAATAAAGTAGAGTCTTTTTCCTTTTCATGAGCATTAGACTGAATGTTGAATGTAGGAGAAAAGTCTGTAGAACCCAGTGATCTTCTACATGCTTGTCTATGCCGTGAATATAGAACATTCGAAGGCCCTGCATTTTCCATCTAAACATTAGGAAAGGTGGAAAATTATCTTAGAAACTATTTCTTTCCATGAGTATATTAATAAATAATTTATACTTGGGTATTCACATTTGCAATATTGAATTATGATAACTAACAGCTGTCTGGTTCTTTAAATAGTTTCAAGTATTACTTAATCCTCAAAAAAACCGACTATGAGATGGGCATTATCAGTAACACTTTGTCAGTAAGAAAACAAACCTTCAGAAGTTAAAAGATCTGCCTGTGCTCATACTTTTTACTTTTATTTTCTTTGTCTATAAAACTTAATATTCACATAAAATTTATTTCTCCAGGTTCAAGGAAAGTCTAAAGTTCAAATACTGAGAAATAAAGCCTTCTCTGTTTTAACAAACCATTACTCTCTCTAAAATAGAGTAGGTACAGCAGATCAGTTCTAAGTAGAGAAGAAGAAACTGAAAAACAATGACGTAGCTTTTCCTAGGCTACAGTGTCAGATGGGGGTCCATATATTTTTTATAAAAATATACATATCTAGGCATCTAAAATACAAATATGCACCTGTTAATATAAACTACATACTTTGTGATTCTCTATTAACAAACCACACAAATAACTGTTTAGAACCCATATTTTTTTCACACTAGGCACAGAATATATTTAGTTCTGAATAATATGAAATAAAAATAGGTATATGAGAAAGCCTAGGCTACAAGACCTCACATTTTGATGGGATACATAGGATTTGCATACACCAAACAGTAATAAATAACATGGAGTAATAATACTAAAAAGCAACCCAATCAATACACTCTATAAATGAGGAAGGGTTTAAAAAGGGAGAGATATCAATAAAGGCTAAAATAGACAGGGAAGATTTCATTGAGGAGGAAGGAAATGCTAAGATTTAAAAGATGAGGGCATTTCAGGTGAGGTTGACAGCATAAGCCTGGAATGTTCATACGACAGGCAGAAAAACAGCATATTTATAGCAGGAAAGGATTCATTATTTGTTGGGATTAAAAGGTAAGTTCAAATAGGTAAAAAGAAGAGTTATGAGAGGAGAGGACACAGATATCTTGAAAGACAAACAAAGCAACTTTATCCTAAAGAAAAATTACCAAAATTATCATGAGGAATAGAAAATTGGAGCATATCAATAATATGCTCCAATTTAGGCAATAATATGGTATTTAGGCAGCAACTAGCATGATAAATTGAACATTACCTCACATCTCACTACTAACTGTGAATATAAATGACCTAAATGCTCCACATAAAAGATACAGAATGGCAGATTGGATAAAAATCCACCAACCAAGTATCTGCCATCTTCAAGAGACTCGTATAATGCATAAAGGCTCACATAAACTTCAGGTAAGGGGATAGAAAAAGATATTCCATGAAAATGGACACCAAAAGCAAGCAGGAGTAGCCATTCATCCATCAGACTTTAAAGCAACAGCAGTTAACAAAGACAATGAGGGACATTACATAATGATAAAAGGATTAGTCCAACAGGAAGATATCACAATCCTAAATATATATGCACTTAACACTGAAGCTGCCAAATTTATAAAACAATTCCTACTAGACTTAAGAACTGAGATAGACAGCAACATAATAATAGTGGGGTACTTCAATACTCCACTGACACCAAGACAGGTCATCAAGACAGAAAGTCAACAAAGAAACAATGAACTTAAATTATACCCTAGAACAAATGGACTTAACAGATATTTACAGAACATTCTGCCCAACAAATGCAAAATATACATTCTTTTCATCAGCACATGGAACATTCTTCATGATAAACCATACAATAAGCCACAAAACAAATCTCAGTAAATTTAAGAAAATTGAAATTATATCAAGTATCCTCTCAGACCAAAGTGGAATAAAACTGGAAATTAACTTCAAAAGGAACCCTCAAAACCATACAAAGACATAGAAATTAAATAATCTGCTCTTGAATGATCCTTGGGTCAACAATGAAATCAAGATGAAAATAAATCCTTCGAACTGAGTGATAATAGCGACACAACTTATCAAAACTTCCAGGATACAGCAAAAACAATGCTAAGAGGAAAGGTCATAGCATTAAGTGCCTATATCCAAAAATCTGAAAGAGCACAAATAAACAACCTAAGGTCACATCTCAAGGAACGAGAGAAACAAGAATGAACCAAATCCAAAACCAGCAGAAGGAAAGAAATAGCAAAGATCAGAGCAGAACTAAATGAAATTGAAACAAATAAACAAAAAAATACAAAAGATAAATGAAATTAAAATCTGGTTCTTTTAAAAGATAAACAAAATTGATAAGACTGTTAGTGAGATTATCTAAGAAAAGAAGAGAGAGTATCCAAATACACTTAATAAGAAATGAAACAACAGATATTAAAACTGATATCACAGAAATATGAAAGATTATTCAAGGCTACTATGAACACCTTTATACACACAAACTAGAAAATCTAGAGGCAATGGATAGATTAGGAAGGAATGGAATGACAACCTAAAAGTAGGTTCATAAGTAACAGGTCAAATTTAGAACAAGAAGTCACTGGGCTTCACAAACAATTTCTGCAAGAAGATTGGAATGGATTCCACATAATAGAGAGAATGAATAAAAAACTTGACCGTTTTCACTTATGATAAGAAAGTTACATGCTTCTCTTTTGGAGGCTTTAGATCTTAGTGATAATGAGCATGAATCAAAGTGCTGGGCTCTTCCTGATTCTGTCATATACTATTTGATCTTAGGCAAGTTGCTTGTCTTCCTTGTGCCTCTTTTTTCTCAGGGATAGTAGTACTTAAGTCATTGGGTTATTGAGGATGTAATTTTTCTTTGAATAGTGCTTGACATACATATGCTTGACATACTTATATGTTTGCTATTATTATCATTTCCCACAAGAAAAAAAGAACGACCATTAGAAATTCCAAGAAAAAACATAACAGTATACTAGACAGTTAAGGTCTAAATATTAGGGAAACTAAAACATGCATTTTCTTTTTTTGAGATGGAGTCTTGCTGTGTCGCCCAGGCTGGAGTGCAGTGGTGCAATCATGGCTCACTGCAACCTCTGCCTCCCTGGTTCAAGTGATTCTCCTGCCTCAACCTCCCGAGTAGTTGGAATTACAGGCATGTGTCACCACCTTTGGCTAATTTTTTGTATTTTTAGCAGACACAGGGTTTCACTGTGTTAGCTAGGTTAGTCTCAATCTCCTGACCTCATGATCTACCTACCTTGGACTCCCACAGTGCTGGGATTATAGGCGTGAGCTACCACTCCCAGCCAACATGGCATTTTTTTAGTAACTGATAGAGAAAAAGAGTCCATTTATTGTATCCACTGAGAAGAAAAGTAATCTAGGCATATTACTTTATTCTGTAATGATTATTACAGAGACCTTACTGTGATGTAAATGAAATGATTATTTATAATATCATAACAATATAAATGCTGTTAATACTGTTAATAGCATTTTGAATTTTAGAATTAACCTACAAACAAAACATAAAGGCTTAATCGGAGTTCAAAGCTGAATATAATAGTTGACCTAGGGAAGAAGTGTGGAAGATAGTTGGAAGACAGGATAAAACTGCTAAGATCTTCATCTTATATAAAGAGGAATCAGGAGTTAGTGATTAAAGGTGATGGAAAAAATTTAGATATATTATTTCAAGTTGCAAAAATTAAAAATAGAAGGAAAAAACAGTAACTATCAAAGATCGAGAAGAGGAAAGTGGGAAGAGGCACTATGCAGAGTAGTATAAACAATCATTCTCATTGATTTTCAGTAGATAATGTTTAAAGTTGATAAATTAAAATCAGCAGTAGAAACTCATTCTCTAAAAATATGAAGTTAATCTTATAAGGTACTGAAACCCAACTTGGTTGCTTCTGAAAAGAGGAAACTAGAAGAAGAAGCAGAGAATGAAACAGTTGTGTGTTCTTATTAGTGTTTCTGTCCTATTTGCTTTTAAAATATCACATGGATATTTTTATTTTAAAAAAACTAAAATTTTACAATTTTTACATAAGATGCTAGAAAATGTATTATAATGAGTAGCCTGATTATGATGCTACGATGCAGTATATACCTTGGGAGGCTTTTATTAACCATGAACCTAAATAAAACATGAAACGAAATAAACGACCTAGATGAAGATAAAACTAACAATCCTGTTAATACTTTTTAAATTATAAAATGTGGGAATATACAACAAAAATTTAAGTTATTAATTATGGCCTTAAGTCTGTATTTCTTCATATTTCTTTACATTAGCACTAATTCAGGTTTCTAATACAAAAATTAATACCTAAGAGACTCTCTAAAGTGACTTTCCCTTGCTGATTCTCTGGATTAATTTATCTCTATAGTTCCCTGGATAAAAACTACTGAAGGCACACTCAAGACTAGTCACTTCAGAAATCATCAGTGTGATTAGGAAAGTTAAAAAAAAAGAAAAAAGACTAGTCACTTTTCAGCATGCCCATGAACTTCTGCTCAAGTGATTATCAAGAGTCAGTAGTGTTGGTTCCAAACTTGTTTGTGGTAGTTACTATTGTAATTAGTATGCTAAAAAAAAAAGGTCTTGGTTACACATTAAAAGAGTAACAAGTGGCTATATATTCTTATATGATAAATTTGAATGTTTAAGTTATACATGTATGTTTTTAATGATGCTTGTCTTAACAGACTTTGTAAGTGCTAGTCCTTATCATGTTCAATGATTTCTACTGTATTGAAAATCTTCAAGAAAGAATATATTATCTTCTCTACTGTCTTCATACACAAAGTTTTAAATAATGTCAGAGATGAAATCACCTTAACATTTTATCATTTTGAATCCTAAAATTCACTTGACTTTGGGAGCTGTAGAAGCATATATAAAATTGTTACGGTCAATGTGAATTTCTATTAAGTAATTATAAAGTATACAAATTACACATACCTCTGTTGTATCCTTAAGATAAAGATAGGGTCTAATAGATCTTGATTTTAGATTTTCTTCTACTGGCTCTAAAGAAAGAAATTCAAACCTAAGTATTTCCATGCTATTAAGTTAATTCTAACTAAACCCAATCAACCATTTTCTCCACTGCAGTAAACTTTTAAGAAATATAAATGAATACTTTTATTTGCTTACATATGCATTGCTTGTACATGGTTAGAGCTAAGTCTATTTTAGAATAATTTGCCCTAAAAGTGAATTTCTATTAACAGACTATAACTTTCAATTACTTACTATTATACAATAAAGCTATATTGTCTTAGAAAATGATAGATTTCTAAATAAAATAGAATCACATGTGTTATTAAAATAATTTTTGGCTAATTTCTTTGAAAAGAGAAATAGAAATAGTCCCTTCTACCTGCATTTCTCTCATCCTCAGTTATGAGTTTTATTAATCTGAATTATCATCCAATGGATATTCTTAAAGTAAGTATGGTGCAGGGGTCAGGCATACAAACTTTGAACTTAGAAAACCTGGGTCCAAACTGCACCTTTTCGTGTGAGTTATATAGCCCTAGCCATAGGAAACTTACTTAAACTCTATGAGTCTTACTTTCCTCATTTGTTAATTGGAAACAATAGCACTTATAGAAATACTGTCAGGGTTAAATGAGATAATAGATGTAACAAATTTAATATAGAGTCTGGTAGTCATTCAATCAATAGTTATTTGTTGTTCAGCTACTATATGCCAGGCACTGATGGACTCTGGAATTGTGACTCCTGCCCAATGATGCATACATTTTAGAGGGTAATATGGAAAATAAAGAAACAAACAAATGAAAACAAACAAGAGGTTGACCAAGTACAGTGGCTTATGCCTATAATCCAAGCATTTTGGGAGGCCAGGGCAGGTGGATCACTTGAGCCCAGGAGTTCAAGATTAGCCTGGGCAACATGGTGAAACCCTGTCTCTAAAAAAAAGTACAAAAATTAGCTGAATGTGGTGGTGTGCCTGTAGTGTCAGCTACTCAGGAGGCTGAGGTGGGAAGATTACTGAACCCGGGGAGGTCGAAGCTACAGTGAGTGTGATCATACCACTGCACTTCAGACTGGGCAAAAGAGTGAGACCTGTTGGAAAAAGAAAACCACCAAAAAACAAAAAACCAAGGGATGAATAATTGAAATACATTCTGTAACAGAAATAAAAACATTTTTATATTTTTGATAGGATAGTCCAAGGAGGCCTCTCTGAACAGATGACATTTAATCAAAATATGCAAATGAGCTGTAAGCTTCATGAATAGAGTATCAGTGTGTCTAGGCAGAGGGGAAAACATATATTCCTCTTAGGCAATCTGGCAGTTGTACTGAAAAGAGACTAATGAAGATGCAATTTATTTATTTATTTTAAGATGGAGTCTCACTCTGTCACCCAGGCTGGAGTGCAGTGGTACCATCTTGGTTCACTGCAGCCTCTACCTCCTGGGTTCAACAAGTGATTCTCATGCCTCAGCCTCCCAAGTAGCTTGGATTATTAGCATGTGCTACCACACTTGGCTAAACTTTGTATTTTTAGAAGATTTGGGGTTTCACCATGTTGGCCAGGCTGGTCTTGAACTCCTGACCTCAAGCGATCTGCCTACCTTGACCTCCCAAAGGTCTGGGATTACAGGTGTGAACCACCCTGCCTGGCTGAAGATCCAGTTTAAATGAAGGCCAGGAAGGTAGGGAATGAGGTTAAATACATATGCAAAAGTCACAATAGACAAGTCTTTGTTTCTTTTCTTTCTTTTTTTAGATGGAGTTTCACTCTTGTTGCCCAGGCTAGAGTGCAATGGTGCAATCTCAACTCAAGGCAACCTTCGCCTCCCAAGTTAAAAGGATTCTCCTGCCTCAGCCTCCCAAGTAGCTGGGATGACAGGCATGTACCACCATACCTGGCTAATTTTGTATTTTTAGTATGGACATGGTTTCACCATGTTGGTCAGGCTGGTCTCAAACTCCTGACCTCAAGTGATCCACCTGCCTCAGCCTCCCAAAGTGCTGGGATTACAGGAATGAGCCACTGCACCTGGCCAGGCATTTATCTGTAAAGAGTACAAGTTTCATATTAAGTACAGTGAGAAGCCACTGAAGAGGCTTTAATGAGGAGATGATCAGCCTACTTTTAAAAGATCACTATATGATTTAAGGAAAGAAAATGGATTAGAGATTTCTGCTACCATTATGGAGGGTCAGGTAATTAGTACCAGCCCTCCTGCTAAAAACATCTTAAAAAGGCTAGATGGAATATTTTTTAAAGTCTAAAGAGCCTCATAGACTTAAAAAATGATAAGAGATGCCTGGGCTTAAACCTAGGAGAAGATAAGGACTCAGATAGGTAAGACTGACATGCCAAGCCGCTTTTTCCCTGAGGGTATTTGTGATGTGAAAGTAAGATCAAGTTTTAAAATGTTCATGGGTTGAGATAGAAAAAAACAAAAAGCTGACTGAAGGTCCAAAGTTTTTATATTTAATATGTTCTTCACTTCCCTTCCCTCACAAAAAACCCACACCTATTCATTTTACCTGGAATCCAAAAGGGTTACAACCGTAGGGTGAACCAGAATAGATAAGTTTGCCACCTGGATGTTATAGGGAAAGTGAAGCCTTGAATGCTTTGATATGTTCTGACAAGTATTGCCTCCAGATACCTGGCATAAACAATTTAAAAAATCTTCTCTGGGGTAAGGTACCTTCACCCTTTTTCTCAAATTGTTTCTATGAATAATTTTCCAAATAGTGTCCAGCATACATTCAAAGATATTAAGACACATAAGGAAATATGATATTTTGAAAGCAAACCATGAGAAATAAAATGTATGTATAAATAAATCCTTTGAGAAATTAGGTTATGAAGTGTAACAGAGAAATTAAGAAATATGGGGTGATGTGGAGTCAAGAAACCTCAGTTAAGAAGGTTGATGAGAATTATGCAATTGAATGATTGTTTGATAATGCCAGAGAAATTGAAAAACAAAAGCAACACAAAACACTCAAATTCTCTGAGAGTTGATAATGCTGGTTCCTGGCTCACAGATTTCTAAAATTTCTAACATGAAAGTAAGTTTCTATTAAGCAAGCTGTTCATATTTGACTTTTAAAAAACAATAACAAGGAAACTCTCACTGTTGAGCTGAAAGGAAACTCAGAGATTTTCTTTCTAGAAGAAAAAAATATATAACCCTATCAACATAAAAATATAGTCCTATTTTGTGAATTGTACAAATTGCCCATTCTGATATTTAACATCTCTTCTTTTTAGTAAATTCTTTTTCATGGAAATAGTTCATGGAAATGTTTTTGACAGAGACATCAAATTATCAAGAACTTTTAAGACATACATCAATAAAAAATAAAGCACCCATTAACAAATCAAAGAAGCAAATGCCTTACACAAAGCATTACCTGTTGACTTACTTTCTTGATTTTTTATATTTGTTTCAACAAAGAATGGTCTTAAATTTGACTTTTCAAAGTCACTCTTTCTAGGTTCAGGCTCACATTTGAAAGAGGCATGCCTGGAAGAAATAAAAATGAATCTAAAGTAATGAGAAAATTTACAAAATAAATCTAAAAAATGAATTTGGAGAAATGTGGTGAAGTCCTAGTTAGGCAGACTTGGATGTTATGATAATGCTATCATAGTACAGAGTGTGAAACATTGGACTGATTGAGCAGGAGTTGAAAATATTAGTTTTAGTCATTTATAGTAGAGGGGGACAGAAACCTATCTGCTGTTGTGATAGGATCGAGGGCACGCCAAGAAACTATTATTCACAAGCTGATTAACCCTTTAAGAAAAACATGCTGGAAATTACTTCAGTGAGATATTGGACCTGAGATTACCAGACCTGAATCAAAGTTGTGGGACACAGAGTTAGGGAGTTCAGATAACAGAAAGGATCATAGCATTTATTTATTGTAAAGACAAATTATGCTCTTCTAAATTCCTTAACTGGCTAGTGATGGTATGTTAGAAAGTTAATAATAATACACAATTATCTTTCTGACCTCTAAATGCTAGAGCAACCCAGGACTCAGTCCTCAGACCTCAGATACTCACCCTTAGTTGATATAATATAGTTGATATATCAGTTGATATAATCCAGCCCCACACTGTAACTATTGTCTATAGGCTGATATCCCAGATTTATAGTCCAGACTCTAACCTCTTCTCTGAACTTCAGATTTATATATCCAACTGCCCACATGACTCCTGCACTTAGCTGAATTATAAGTATCTCGAACTTAACATATTCAAAACCAAATTCTTGATTTCACCCACTTCCTGATCTCCTCACCTAGGTTTCCCCAACACCATTCAACCAGAGGCTTAGGCCAAAAAATTTGCAGACATCTTAGATTTCTCTCTCTCTCTTTTCCCACTCCCAACCTATCAGTAAATATCACTGTGTCTTCCTTTGAAATAGATTCCAAATCCAAACACCTCTTTTATCATTGCTCCAATGCAGTCCAAGACCCCTTTATCTTTCATCTCAACTGCTTCCATACGTCTCTAGCCTTCTGTTTGCTCTCCATGCTATGGCTCTTGTCCTCAACATTCTCTTCTCAATACAGCCATAGCAGCACTTGTAAAATATAAATGTGACTATCATTTCCTGCAACTGTTTCCTATCAGACTTGAGTAAAATTCAAAATGCTCCCTAACAGACAGAAACTTTTCCCCCAGTTCTCATTTCTAGGTAGCAGAATTTCCACTGAATGCCACTCCAGGCCTCTCTCTGCATAATGCTTCACTTCTCACCTCCACGTGAAAACTGAGCACATTTTCTAGCTGTTTGGTTTAGGGAAAGCAATTCAGGCTCCACTTAACGACCTTGGCATTTGCTCTTTCCTCTGCCTGTAGAATTTTCCCCACAAGGGGTTGACGTGGCCTACTCCTTCATTTCATTTCCACCTCTTCAGAAAGATCTTTCCAGCCCACCCCACTTCCCCCATCTAAAACAGTAATCCCCGTTGATCATAATTTCCTTAATTTACTATATTTTCCTTTACAGCATTTATCACTGGTGAATTTATATTATTATTATTTTTTCTTTTTTTCTTTTTTTATTGCATTTTAGGTTTTGGGGTACATGTGCAGAACATGCAAGATAGTTGCATAGGTAGACACGTGGCAGTGTGATTTGCTGCCTTCCTCCCCTTCACCCACATCTGGCATTTCTCCCCATGCTATCCCTCCCCAGTTCCCCGCCCCCCTGTCCCTCCTCTATTCCCCCGCAATAGACCCCAGTGTGTAGTGCTCCCCTCCCTGTGTCCATGTGTTCTCATTGTTCATCACCCACCTATGAGTGAGAATATGCGGTATTTCATTTTCTGTTCTTGTGTCAGTTTGCTGAGAATGGTGTTCTCCAGATTCATCCATGTCCCTACAAAGGACACCAACTCATCATTTTTGATGGCTGCATAATATTCCATGGTGTATATGTGCCACATTTTTCCAGTCCAGTCTGAATTTATATTATAAATTCATTTGTTTATTTAGTTTATTGTCTGTCTCCCCACCTTATCCTAGGACATAAACTCTGAGGGAAGACTCTTCATGTGTTTCATTCACTGTGGTATTTTAGCACCTATAGCAATGACTAGTACATAGTACCTGTTTAATATTCAATGAATGCCTAATAGGCCAGGCATGGTGGCTCATGCTTGTTATCCCAACACTTTGAGAGGCTGTGGCAGGTGGATCACCTGAGGTCAGGAGTTCAAGACCAGTCTGAACAACAGGGTGAAACCCCGTCTCTATGAAAAATACAAAAATTAGCCAGGTGTGGTGGCGTGTGCTGGTAACCCCAGATACTCAGGAGGCTGAGGCAGGAGAATCACTTGAACCTGGGAGGTGGAGGTTGCAGTGAGCTGAGATCACTCCCACTGCACTCCAGCCTGGGCAACAGAGTGAGACTCCATCTCAAAAAAAAAAATTATTGAATGCATAAGATTTCTGGTAAATTTTTACTGAACTTTCTTAACATCTTATACATTGTAATGGGTTTTCAGTCTATTCTCTCTTTCAATAAATTTATGTAATCTTCATAAAATAACTTATCTGTTCCTTTCAGAAAATTTATCTTATGTTCTTATTTAATATCATTGGGAAAAACTTCTAGAAGACTGTAGTATACTAGTGAGAATGGGTATTGTTCGTTTCTATCTTAAATGAGAATGAGTCAAGGGTTCTTAAGGATGATGCTGGGTACACAGTCTTGTTAAGGAGATAATATTTTATCCTTATCTTGCTAAAGTATTTTTTCAAATTCATTTGCAGAGTATATGTTCAGATATGAATTTCCTTACCAAAGAGCATAGGCTTTGGAGTTGGACCTTACTTTGCATCTTGACTCCATGTGATCTTCCATAGAATACTGAATACTCTGAATCTCAGTCCTTCATATGTCAAATAAGGTTAATAGTTACCTCAAGAGATTGTTGTAAGAATTATGTAAAATAAATTTTAGAAAGTAACAAAATGTCCTAGAGATCAATGAGGATACTCTTTCTTATTCATGAAATTTACTCCACTTAGTCATAATGGAGTAATATTTATTTAATATAGTGTTGGATTTCATTTTGTTAAAATAAGTTGTTGAGTGGCAATTATTCTGTTGCCTTAGAATTGGTGACCAGGTGACGTTTTACTCCATAGCTGAGTAAAAAAGAGCAAAACATACTCTGTATTCTACAAAGATCCACCAATACTTGGAGCAAGAGATTCTCTTAGGCCTTCAAATAACAGAATACTGTGGTGAGAGGAAGAAAGAAAAATGTCAGAATTGTGAGTTACTGACCTGTTAGGGTCTACTGTGGTTTTTCCTTTTTTCTCAATGTGGTAGGGGCAGAGAGGCTTCCTCCATAAAACTGATGAGGGAATTCCTAAAGAATCACTCCTAGAGACTGGTTCCAATAAAAGACAGCATTTGGCATGTCATTCCTCAGTTGCACATCTGTTAGACACCACACTTGCTGATTTGCCCCATGTCAAATTTGGAGCGGGTGGAATAAGCGGGTAAAGTAGGCATCCTGCACCACACTGTTTGGTATGGCAAGGTTACTTGAGTTTCTGGGGAGATGTTATGGACTGAATGTGTCTCCTTCAAATTCAAATGCTGAAGCGTAACTCTCTAAAGCTATTTATTTGGAAGTGGGAGCTTTGGGAGATAGATTATGAGGGCGTAGCCTCATGAAAAGGATTTGTGTTCTTCTAAGAAGAGTTGGTCTCACTCCTTCTCCCTCTGTCTATATCTGCCTTTCTCACTATCTCCCAATGATGTATGGATACAAGGAGACAGCCATCTGCAAACCAAGAAGAATAACCTCACCAGACACCCAATATGCTGGAGCTTTGATCTTGGACTTCCTGGCCTCGAGAACTGTGAGAAATAAATTTCTATTGTTTAAGCCACCCAGGCTATTATGTGCTGTTGTCGTACCCAAACTAAAAAATTAGTAATGAGCAGTGGGGTACTGCCATAACAAATGCTTGAAATGGCAATGGCTTTGGAATTGCTTAATGGGTAGAGGGTGGAAAGTTGGAAAGTGCATGATAGAAAATGCTGACATTGCCAAGAAGGAGATATTAAAGGTGACTTTAGTGAGGGCTCAGAAAGAAAAGAGAATCATGTTCACAAAAGCCCATCTGTAGGATTAAATGAAAAAAAGAAAGAAAAAGAAAAAAGAGAAAAGCTTCCATTTTCTTATAGAATACATAAGTAATTATGAACAAAATATTGGTAGAAATATGGATGGCAAGGGCCATTCTGATGAGATCTCAGATGGAAGTGAAAAATTAGTTATTGGAAACTGGAGGAAAGGTGGTCTTTGTTATAAAGTGGCAAAGAACTTGGCTTAATTGTGTTTGTGTTTTGGCATTTCACGGAATGTAGAACTTGCAGGCAATGAAATTGGATAATTAGCTGAGGTTAGTTCTAAGCAAAGTGCTCAGGAGTGACTTGGTTCCTACTGATATTTATAGCAAAATGCAAGAGGAGAGAAAAGAATGAAATTATTTTTAAAAAAAGGAACCAGAAGTTAAAGATTTGAAAAATTTTCAGTCTTCCCATATTACAAAAAAATGAAAAAGTATGCTTGGGAGAGAACACTAAAGGTATGGGTAAGATGACAATTTGATAAGTAGGTCAGTGTGGATGTGTACCAGGGACCAAATCAATCTTCTCAGCAGAAGCCAGGAATAGAGATGGGATTATATCAGCAGAAACACTGCCAGCTGAGACTAAGGGAAACAGAGAAAATGGGACAAAATGAAAGAAGATGGTTGGACTTATTCGATTCTACAGGACCAGACCATCGTCTCTCCCTTCTTCCTATCCCTCTCCTTTGAATGAGGATGTCTATCCTACACCTATTCCATCATTGTAGCTTGGAAACATACAACTTGTTTGTGTTTACAGGTTCACAACTAGAGAGAAATTTTGTCTCAGGATATTATTACCTCAAGTCTTATCCATATCTGATTTAGATGATATTTAGATGAGACTTCAGATTTTAGAGTTGATGCTGAAACAGTTAAGACTTTTGGGTCTATTGGGATGAGATGAATGTATTTTCCATGTGAGAAAGATATAAATTTGGGGGGTGGGAGACAGGGTTGGAATTCTGTAGACTGAATATTTACATCTCCTCACTCAAATTAATATACTGAAGTCTAAATTCCCAAAGTTATGGTATTGGGAGGTGGGGCCTTTAAGAGGTAATTAGGTCATGAGTGTGTAGCCTCATGAATGGGATTAATGCCCTTATATGACATGAGAGAGGTGCTATCTCTCTCTCTCTTTCTGTCTGCCATTTGAAGATACTATAAGAAGACAGCTGTTTGCAAAGCAGGAAGAGCACCCTCATCAGACACCGATCTTGAACTTCCTAGCCTTTAGAACTATAACAAATAAATTTCTGTTATTTAAACCACCCAGGCTATGGTATTCTTTATGGCAGCCTGAACAGGGGTCAAATGGATACTAAAGTAGTAACTGTGTTTGGGTCATTTTGCTGGTATTCCACCCAGATTGCTGACTGCAATCCTGGGGATCATCCACAGAAGACATTGTGGAGTGTTTATTAAAGAGTATAGCAGTTGATGGAGAATTTGATGACTTGTAGCTGAAGGAAGCTCTCCTTGGTTGGAGAATGGGTTCCTCTGGGGATCTCTCACATGTGCTCTTTAAGACCAAAGTTGGCTAGAAAATGATTGATGACTGAGGGAAAAGAGGAAAACAGTGCCCAGTTAGTAAGAAATTTTGTCTTCTCTCTCCCTCCTCCTTTACTCCTATAGAAGGGGATGTGCTGGTAAATGTTTAATAACCTTGCCTTTGGGTGTAGTTCTAACATGGAATTTTACTCATTCATCAATGGTATAAGCTACTTCTTTGCTGAACCAAATAATAGTTTTTTTTCTATTGTTAATTTTTTCTTTTTTTTGTTTTTTTTGAGATGAAGTCTCATTCTGTCACCAAGCTGGAGTGCAATGGTGTGATCTCATCTTGCTGCAGTGTCTGCCTCCCGGGTTTAAGCAATTCTTCTGCTGCCTCCCAAATAGCCGGGACTACAAGTGTGCACCACCATGCCCAGCTAATTTTTGTATTTGTAGTAGAGACAGGGTTTCACCATATTGGCCGGGATGGCCTCCATCTCTTGACCTTGTGATCTGCCTGCCTTGGCCTCCCAAAGTGCTGGGATTAGAGGTGTGAGCCACCATGCCTGGCCCCAAATAATAGTTTTTGCATATTTTCTGATTTTTTGTGTTACTCAAAGCATAATGGCGATAGGTAAGGCATACTTTTTTTGATAAAACTTACGTTTAAGTTTAATCTTCATCATTAACATTTTCTTCCTCACTTTCTTAAATCTAGACAGACAATAACTCAAGCCTTGATTTGCAGTGTTTGCCAATTGATATGGTGTAAATACTACCATTCTCAATTTCTAGATACCAATGTGATATAATTAAATGTGGAATTTGGAAGAGACGTAGTAGCATACTGTTATATAAATTTCTACCATGTGGATATAATAGATGTAAATTACTTCAAAACCATGGATAATAGTAAAATGTAAAATAATTAGGAAGTGATGAGTTTTGACTATTATCTTTATTTTCAGTATGTCATTAAATTTTAAGTTTACATAATTTAATTTTTAATAGTGAGTGTGCCATAAACATCTCAAAATTGCTGAAAATTCAACAAACAGCTCTAATGAGTTGGTAGGAGCTGGCTTTAGCATGCCACTGTTCCCATATGAAAGAAAAAAGAAATCAGAATAAGAGTGAGGAGGAGGTGCTAGAGAAAGACCATATCAACCTCCTACTCTCATGTAAGGGAACAGGAAGAATCAAATTACTGACCATAGCCCTCTCCAT